AGTGAACAAGCGAGACCTGTCAGCAGCACCAAGCAGAAGGCAAGAGTGCGTTCTGGAGAGAAATTAAACACGGGTGGCGGGGCTGCGACCCAGGCACGCCAGGGCGTCAGTGGGACCGGTGGGGCGAGGTGGAAGCGGGGTGCCTGGGGGGGTGACGGGGAGGAGACTTGGGGAAGGTGAGGGCGCGAGTCGTCTGCCTGCCCGAGGGAAGCTCTTTCCCTCCCTCCCCTCCAACTAACCCTCCTCCTTCTTCTGCTGCCACCGGTGGATCTGAGGCCCCGTGCTGCGCTGCCGTCCCACGTTATCGCACCACAGGGCCCGTTTCTCTCTCCTCTCTCCCTCTGCCCTTCAAAGCCCTGGCCCCCCTGTGCCGACGCCGCGTCTCCTTCTTTCTCTTCCTCTCTCTCTTGAATTTTCCTCTAATGCTCTTGAGGCGTCTCCTCCCTCCCTTCTCCCTCTCCTCCCTCTCCCTCTCTCTCCCTCTCTCCCTCCCCCTCTCCCTCTCCCTCCCTCTCCCTCTCTTTCTCTCTCCCTCCCTCTCTCTCCCTCTCTCTCCCTCTCCTCTCTCTCCCTCCCTCCCTCCTCCCTCTCTCTCGCCGTCCCTCTCTCTCCCTCTTTCTCTCTCCCTCTTTCTCTCTCCCTCCGTCTTCTCTCTCCCTCCTGCTCTTCTCCTCTCTCTCCCTCGCCTCGTCTCTCTCCTCTCTTCCTCTCCTCTCCCTCTTTCTCTCTCCCTTCCCTTTTCTGTCTTCTCCGTCTCTCCTTTCTCCTCTCTCCTCTCTTGCTCCTTCCTCTTTTCTCTCTCTCTCTTCCTCTCTCTCGTCCCTCTCTTCTCTGTCCCCCTCTCCCTTTTCTCTCTCCCTGCTGCCTCTCTCTCCCGCTCCTCTCTCCTCCCCTCTCTCCCTCTCTCCCTCTCTCCCTCTCTCTCCTTCTTCTCTCTCCTCTCCTCCTTCCCGTCTCTTTCTCTCTCCCTCTCTCTCCCTCTCTTCTCTCTCCCCTGTGCCGCCTCTCGTCTCCCTCTCTTTCTCCTCCCTCCTCCTTCTCCTCCTCTCTCCCTCTCCTGCGCCTTGCTTTCTCTCTCCCTTCCTTCTCTCTCCCTCTCTTTCTCTCTCCCTCTCTCTCCCTCTTTCTCGCCCTTCTCCTTCTTCTCTCCTCTTTTCTCTTCTCCCTCTCTCTCCCTCCCTCTCTCTCTCCCCCTTTCTCTTCTCCCTCTCTCGTCCTCTCTCTCTCCTCCCTTCTCCCTCTCTCTCCCTCTTTTCTCTCCCTCCTCTCTCTCCTCTCTCTCCCTCCCTTCTTCTCCTTCTCTTCCCTTCTTGTCCTCTCTTTCTCTCTCCCTCTCTCTCCTCTTTCTCTCTCCTCTCCTCTCTCCCCTCTCTTTCTCTCTCCCTCCCTCCTCCCTCTCTCTCCCTCTCTCTCCCTCCCTCTCTCCCTCCTCTTTCGTCTCGTCCCTCCCTCTCTCTCCCCTCTTCTCCTCCCTCCCTCTTCTCGCCTCCTCTCTCTGTCCTCGTCTCTGTCCCTCCTCTCTCTCTCTCTCTCTCTCTGCTATACATTCCTGCCCTGCCCTGATTCTGCTCCACACCATGTAGCTGTGGATGTATGTTCCATGTGCCTTTCATGGGATGCTTTGCCCTGGAGGATGGCCTAATTCTTAAGCGTCCAGCAGGTGACCAGGTGACCCGGTGGCCCCACCACCACCAGCAGGAAACCTGTTTATGTCAGCAGACAACCTCGTGGTGCTCGTCCGATTTATGTTCAGTGTGTTCCTACCAAGACAGCCACTCTAGGGGAGCCTGAGAGGACACTTAGGGTGGGGCGTGTGGATCTGATGGGGTTAGGGTTGGGGTTGGGGTTAGGGTTGGAGTTAGGGTTAGGATTAGGGTTGGGGTTAGGGTTAGGGTTTGGGTTGGGGCTAGGGTTTAGGGTTAGAGTTAGGGTTGGGGTTGGGGGTTAGGATTAGGGTTGGGGTTAGCGTTAGGGTTAGGGTTGGGGTTGTGGTTAGGGTTAGGGTTGGGGTTAGGTTTAGTGTTGGGTTGGGTGTTGGGGTTAAGGTTAGAATTAGGGTTGGTGTTGGCATTAGGTTTAGGCTTGGGGTTAGTGTTAGGGTTGGGCTTAGGATTAGTGTTGGGGTTGGGGATGGGTTAGAGTTTGGGTTGGGGTTAGATTTAGCTTTAGGGTTGGTTTTGGTATTAGGGTTAGGGTTAAGGTTGGCGTTAGGGTTAGGGTTATCGTTCTAGTTGGGGATAGTTTTAGGGTTAGGGTTTAGTTTGGGGTCATCATTAGGTTTAGGATACACACAGAAGAAGCCATGGGACAAAACACGTGAAATAGCAGAAGTAGTTTATTAGTCACCGATCTCGGAGTGGTGTGGGGCTATCAGCAAGGGCACAGCCCTTTGGACACACACACACACACACACACACACACACACTCTCACCAGTCATCCAGCGGGTATGGGGAAACTGAGAGCTCCGAAGGGGTTGTAAGAGCCAAAGCTTTTTTTAGGTTGCAGGGCATTTCCCAAGCTGGTTTCCCTCAGGGAATTGTAATTTTTAGGGGTAGCCGCCGGAGCCGTTCTGAAGCCGTTCTGAAGCCGTTCTGAAGCCGTTCTGAAACCGAGAGTGGCCCCTGCGGGGGAAACTGACACAATCTGAGCAGGGTATGGGCTGAGCCGGGAGGAGTCAACGAGGCTGTATGTAGGGGACCAGGGGGTGGTTGCACCAAGCAGGTGTCCTGGATCGATAACATTGAGGAACTGGGAGGGGACAGAGAACCAAAAACTGTCACATGCTCAGCCCTGATTCTTGTAAACATATTCAAATTGCATGCCAGGCGGACAGCGTTATAAGAATTCACACACACACACACACACACACACACACACACACACATACACACTTTGTCTCTGCATCTGTCTCTCTTTCTCCTCTCTCTCTATATATCCTTGCCCTGTCCCTCTCTCTGTCCTTGTCCCTTCCTCCCTGCCTTTAAATTTCTAACCCTGTATGCCTTCATCTAACACCCTATCCCTAGACTGCACTCTCTCTATGACCGGGGGTGGGGGGTGGTCCCTCAGTTTCCCAAAACCTCCATCCTCCCATCCCCGAACCCTGTGCCCCCAGGACCTCGGCAGGACCCCAGGCTGTGCTGGCAGGGGGGCCCAGCCCTCGGCCGCACCTTCTTGCACGGACCAGAGCTGGACGACGGGCAGCTGCGTGTCCGCCGCAAGGGCATCTACAGACTGCACATCCAGGTGACACTGGCCAACTGTCCCTCCAGGCAGATCAGCGTGCCCCGCAATGCCACCGTAACCGTGGGCATCTGCGCCTCCACCGCCTACAGCCTGATGCGCCTCCCCTTCAACGGACACTGCACCGTTTCCTCCCAGCGACTGGCGCCTCTGGCCGTCGGGGACGCCCTCTGCACCAACCTCACCCTGCCGCTGCTGCCCTCGCAAAACGCTGACCAAACGTTCTTTGGCATCCAGTGGGTGCACCCCGGAACCTAGCTCCTGGTTTAGATTGGTTAGGTTTTTTTTGTTTTTTTCCGTTTTTCTATAATTTTTTTCTTCCATTTTTATCCTTGGTTTTACCTGCCTGCCAGGACAGAAAACAGCTTACCTGGGTGGCTGTCTCTCAAACCAAAAGATGCAAATAACCCGCCCAGTCTCCCTTAAAGCCATCCAGCTCTTCGGAAACAAGGCAAGTTGGAGAAACTGTCACCACCCAGAGGCACCGAAGGAGACGTGATGGCTAAATGTCATGTGGGAGCCTGGATCAGAAAAAGGACATTAGGTAAAAACCAAGGAAATGTTAATAAAGTGTGTCCTCTAATTAATAATGGATCAGTTTTGGTTCATTAGTTGTAACCAGAGTAAGTTATTGTCTTAGTCCTTTCCAGCTGCTATAACAGAATACCTCAGGCTGGATCCTTTATAGACATAAATTATATTTTTTTTGTGTAGAGGTGGGGTCTTGCTATGTTGCCCAGGCTGGTCTTGTACTCCTGGCCTCAAGTGATCCCCCAGCCTCAGCCTCACAAAGTGCTGGGATTACAGCCATCACCCAGAGGATGAGCTGGGGATGAGCCACCACCCAGACTGTGCTTTCTGTTCTGTAAAACCACGTGTATACACTCTTTTTTTGAAATTGTGAAATTCACGTGACATAAAAGCGCTTTCAAAGTGGACAGTTCAGTGGCGTTTAGTACATCCACCACGTTGTGCAACCACCACCTCTATCTAGTTCCAAAGCATTTTCACCACCCAAAAAGGAAACCCCGTATTCATTAGCAGTCATTCCTCATTTCTCCCCCTCCCCCACCCCCAGTCCCTGGCGGCCACCGATCTGCATTCTATACCCATGGATTTACCTAGTCTGCCTGTTTCATATACACAGAATCATACAATTTGTCCCCTGTACCCAGCTTCTTCTACTTGGCGTAATGTTTTGAAGGTTTATCTGAGATGTAGCACAAGCCAGTGCTTCCTTCCGGGTTATGGCTGAAGAATATTTTATTGTGTGTGTATATCAGGCTGTGTTTTTCCATTTGCTATTGATGGGCGTTTAGGTTGTTTCCACTTTTTGGCTAGTGTGAATAATGCTGTTACAAACATATGTGTACTGTACTGGTTTGAGCCCCTGTTTCAATTTTTTGGGGGTACATACCTAGGAGCAGGATTGCTTTACCATCTGGCAATTCCATGGTTTATTTTCTGGGGAACCACTGAACTATTTTCCAACGTGTGCGCCTTTTACCCACATTTTTTTTTAATTGGGTTGTCAGTGTTTTTGCTTATTGTTTTGTTGGAAATTTCTATATATTAAAGAAATTACCCTTGAGCTATAAATGAGTTACAAGTATTTTTTTTCAGTTTGTCTCAATATTTTTCTAGCTTGATTGAGTTATAATTGAAATGCAGAAATTATATATATTGAAGGTGTACAACTTGGTGCTTTGATATACCTGTACTTTGCCAAGTTCATTAACATATCACTTCACTTAGTTTAATATTTTGTTTGTTTTCTTTTTTTTTCTTTTTTTTCTTTTTTTTTTTTGGTATGGTGAGAACACTTAAGATCTCTTGGCAAATTTCAAGAATGCAATACTGTATTTTTTACTAATGCCTAATAGATGTACGTAGTTTCAAGGTACAAGTGATCCCTGAATACATTCATTTAACTTGTAAATATCAAATCAGTGTACTTGGAATATCCATGACCTTAAATACTTGTCCTTTTCTTATACTAGAAACATTCCAATTCTTCCCTTATAGCTATTTCATAATATACAATAGATTATTGTAAACTGTTGTCGCTCTACTTGATCTAACACTAAGACTTATTTCTTCTATAATACGGTAATTTTTTTTTTTTTTTGAGACAGAGTCTCACTTGTTGCTCAGGCTAGAGTGAGTGCCGTGGTGTCAGCCTAGCTCACAGCAACCTCAGACTCCTGGGCTCAAGGGATCCTCCTGCCTCGGCCTCCCGAGTAGCTGGGACTACAGGCATGCGCCACCATGCCCAGATAATTTTTTCTATATATATTAGTTGGCCAATGAATTTCTTTCTATTTATAGTAGAGGCGGGGTCTCGCTCTTGCTCAAGCTGGTTTCGAACTCCTGACCTCGAGCAATCAGCCCGTCTCGGCCTCCCAGAGAGCTAGGATTACAGGCGTGAGCCGCCGCGCCCGGCCTATAATACGGCATTATTAGCTACAGTCCCCATGCTGTATATTAGATCTCCAAAACTTATTCCTGTTGTATAACTGCAACTTTTTTACCCTTCATTCAACATCTCCCCATTTCCCTCATTCTTACCCCAAATGTGGTAATTACCATTCTACCCTCTGCTTCTGTGAATTCAACTTTCTTAGATTCCACATAAAAAGGAGATTATATAGTAGTTGTCAATCTATGTCCAGCCGATTTCAGTAAGCATGTCCTTCAGGTTTACCCACGTTGTCACAAATAACAAGATTCCATTCTTGTTTAGGGCTGAATAATATTCCATTGTGTGTATATAACATATTTTCTTTATCTATTCTTATGTCAATGGACGCTTGGGTTGTTTCCATATCTTAGCTACTATGAATAATGCTGCAATGGACATGGCAGTGCAGACACCTCTTTGAGATTCTAGTTTAATTTCCTTTGGATACACAAGGGCTGTCCACAAAATATCCAGCCATGTAACCATTCTCATTATATCAACGATGGCTGGATACTTTCTGGGCAGCATTCATGTACCCAGAAGTGAGACCATATTGGATTGTATGGTCTTTTTAGTTTTAATTATTTTTTTCTTTTTTTTTTTTTTGAGACAGAGTCTCACTCTTGCCCGGGCAAGAGTGCCATGGCGTCAGCCTAGCTCACAGCAACCTCAAACTCCTGGGCTCAGGCAATCCTCCTGCCTCAGCCTCCCAAGTAGCTGGGACTACAGGTGTGCACCACCATGCCTGGCTAATTTTTTTCTATATATTTTTAGTTGGCCAATTAATTTCTTTCCATTTTCAGTAGAGATGGGGTCTTGCTCTTGCTCAGGCTGGTTTCGAACTCCTGACCTTGAGCGATCCACCCGCCCCGGCCTCCCAGAGTGCTAGGATTACGGGCATGAACCACCGCCCCCAGCCTAGTTATACATTTTTGAGGAATCTCCCTACTGTTTTCCATAGTGGCTGCACCATTTTACTTTCCCACCAACAGTTCCCTTTTCTCCACGTCCTCACCAGACGCCTGTTGTCTTCTGACATTTTGATCATAACCATCCTTACAGATACGAGGTGATACCTCATTGTGGTTTTGGTTTGCATTTCCCCGACAATTGGTGATGGTAAGCACCTTTTCCTTGTATCTGTTGGTCATTCGTATGTCTTCCTTTGAGAACTGTCCATTTAGGTCCTTTGCTCACTTTTTAATCAGCTTATTTGCAAATATCGTCTCCCATTCCACAGGGAGATTGATTATAAGGAATTGGCTGACACAAGTATGGAGAGTGGCAAGTCCCCAGATCTTCAGTTGGCAAGTAGGAGACCCCAAAGAGCAGGTGATGTACCTCCAGTTTGAAAGCTGACAGGCCCAAGACCCGAGAGGAGCCAATGTTTTAGTCTGAGTCCAGAGGCAGATAAAAATTAGTGGCCTGGTCTGAAGGCATTCGGACAGGAGTTCCCTCTTACTCAGCAGACCTTCAACTGATTGGATGGGGCCCACCCACACTGGGGAGGACAATCTGCTATTACTCATTCTGCTGATTCAAATATTAATCTCAGCTAAAAAAAAACACCATCACAGACACACCCAGAAATAATGTTTAACCAAATGTCTAGGCATCCTGCAAAATGAAGCTTGGGAAAAATTTAAAAAAACAAACATCTGGGCACCCCATGGCCCAGTCAAGTTGACACATAAAACTAAATATCGGGGCCAGGCGTGGTGGCTCACGCCTGTAATCCTAGCACTCTGGGAGGCTGAGGCAGGAGGATTGCTTGCAGTCAGGAGTTCAAAACCAGCCTGAGCAAGAGCAAGACCCCGTCTCTACTATAAATAGAAAGAAATTAATTGGCCAACTAATATATATAGAAAAAATTAGCCGGGCATGGTGGCGCATGCCTGTAGTCCCAGCTACTCGGGAGGCTGAGGCAGGAGGATCGCTTGAGCCCAGGAGTTTGAGGTTGCTGTGAGCCAGGCTGACGCCACGGCACTCACTCTAGCCTGGGCAACAAAGTGAGACTCTGTCTCAAAAAAAAAAACAAAAAACAAAAAAAACTAAATATCGTAAGTCTGCTGTGGGTCAACTTGGCAGCCATGTATATCTCCTTAAACCATACTTAACCTCCAAGTAAAGACAACAACAGTCGATCACCTGATCAACTATCCTGTATACAACTAAAAACACACAGCCCTTCTCTAGAAGTGGAGGTAAATTCATCGAGTGAGGGTTTCTCTTCTCCTGGGTATCCTGTAACTTTAATTCTATGATGTAAAGTTAACAACCCTTAAATACCGTCAGTTGATACATCTTACGTTGCATGACAAGGAAATAAGAGAGATAAGAAAACAAAGATATTTGCTATTTGTGTTAATATAAAAATATAAGCCAGGTGCGGCGGCTCACACCTATAAACCCAGCACTTTGGGAGGCCGAGGTGGGAGAATGGCTTGGGCCCGGGAATTTCAGATTAGGCTGGGCAACATAGTGAGACCCCATCTCTACAAAAACAAACAAACAAAAAAAGTAAGCCGGGCATGGCATGACACACGCCTGTAGTCCCAGCTACTCGGGAGGCTGGGGCAGGAGGATCGCTTGAGCCCAGGGGTTCAAGGCTGCAGTGAGCTACGATCACACCACCGTACTCCAGCCTGGGCAATAGAGCAAGACCTTCTGTCTCTAAAAATAAAAGAATGAACGAATAAGTAAATAAGTCAGCCTAATTCAACTTTATGTTGCTTCCATCATTATCTCACACCTTTA